AAGTGTGCATATAGAAGTAGTCTGGTGAGCCCGGTTCATGTGATATAGAGAGACGAAATATCAATCATCCCAAGGTTGCTGAGAAATTATTAATCAATACATCAATGCAAAACCAGAATGTTGTATGTAAAGCTATTAGGATTGCTACAATTACTACAAATAAAATTGCAAGTTGGACCAAGGCAATTACAAACGCCTAGTATACTGCCTAACTACTAGTAACAGGAATAGCAATAGGCTGGTTTTAGTATGCCAATTCCGTCGATATATATAAGTACTTACTTAGGTATACTCAAAAGTCCAGTCGTATGGCCAGCGAGACCAATTGTATGTATGGTATGGATCTGGCTTTGCTTTAACTACTTAACCTAGGTAGATACCTACTTTCCAGACGCGCGGGTTGACGAGGGGATGGCCGTTGTGAGCAGCGCGGACAACAACACATCAACACATATAACATGCCACGTTTTGGGTTGGCGGCTTGCCGGAATATAAGGCTGTCATCCCGCGTCGCTTTATAATACTCCGTCAGAAGTCGTCCATCCCATCTTTGGCCTCGCCCAGATTTCGCCATCTCCGCTTCATCCCCAAACCACCGGCTTACCCGCCCTCCCATTTTGTTCTTCTAAACGACTTTCATGGTCAAGCTCTAGATCGCTCTTCCAACTTGACAATCCAATAGTTATCCTTTGGGGAATCAATCATCAGCGATAACCCCCCACCATGGCTGCCGTTCCTATCGAGGAGTGGTTCTACGACATCCCAGTATGCACTCGCATCTGGGCATCCGCTGCTGTCGCCACAGCCCTCGCCTGCCAATGCCATCTCGTCTCTCCCTTCCAGCTATTCTTCTCTCTGCCGGCCGTAATTTCCAAACGTCAGTACTGGCGACTGATCACTACTTTCCTCTACTTCGGCCCGTTAAGTTTGGACTTTATGTTCCATATGTTCTTTCTGGCGCGCTATAGTCGAATGCTGGAGGAGAGTGATTTTAGAGGGAAGACGGCGGATTTTGCGTGGTTGCTGCTGTATAGCTGTACCTGTTTGCTGGTGAGCTATCTTTTACTCCTCTTGAGAGCAGATCTGGACAATGACTAATATATATTTTGAAAAACAGTTCTGTTCTGCGGTATTTGTTCAGATGCCGTTCCTGGGCTCACCGCTCGCCTTCTCTATCGTATACATCTGGGCACGGAGGAATCCATCGGTTAGACTGAGCTTCCTAGGCCTGTTTGTATTCAATGCACCGTACCTCCCGTTCGTCCTTCTTGCGTTTAGCTTGGTTATTAATGGTACTATGCCCAAGGATGATGCGCTTGGGATTGTTATCGGCCATAGTACGTATATATTCACTCCTTTAGCCAGACACACCGGAAGCTTCAAATTTGATAAATTAGGTTCTAACTGCTGGCTTTCTATAGTTTATTTCTTCTTCATGGACATTTACCCAGCTGTTAGAAACGGATCTCGACCTTTGGATCCACCCGAAATTTGGAGGAGGCTATTTGAGCCACGCACTGAGAATGCAGGAGAGCAGACCCAGCGCGAGCAGGTCATGGCTCGAGCCGTGCAGTAAACGTCATTTATTCTCGTTTTTCTCTCTTCTTTCTGACTGTAAAGGAAAAGAAGGAATAAAAGCAAATGTTTTATCCTCGGTGTCTACAAACACCGTCTTTCTACCGCCATAGACCAGCTTAGAAGGCTAGGGGATCATTGCTGCCCTATTAGTTGGGCCAGCCTTGTATTGTTGTTGTGGGTTGCTTCAGCGTTATCATTCATCGGTGTTCAGTGGTTCTCTGTTTTTATATATACTATTCTCTTCTCTACTTGTATGATACTTATCATCAAAACTGGGAGCAGTTTGTGGGGATGTATTCCCAATCCACCTAACAAAATAGCCCAGTCACATATGGGTAACTAAACAGCGATCGGTTTCTACGAGGGTTTCGGTCATCAATACATCTTTTTGTTTCAAGGGACGGCTCTAAATGCCAAGCATGCGTGCTAAATAACCCAAAACGCATGATATGATGTGGGATGTAGTTCTACTGTATACTAAAGGTAAATGCCTAGTCTTACACTACTCTTCGTTAGCTTCAAAAAATGAATCGCTGTCATCGTCATCATCATCATCGCCAGAATCGCGGTTTTTCTCCTCCTCTTTCTTAAGATATTCTCTCTTTGCGAGCACTTCTTTAAACCGCGGCAGTAACAGCTCTACCGTTCGCTTCACATCGGGCATTTCCACAATCTCCTTCGTACCATCCCCATTCACAATTTCACCGAGCCCAGCAACCACCTTTGCCCCCTTCCTTTCGCCGTCCAACCCTACCCCACTGGCTGTTCTGACACTTGTATCCTTCCCACATCTAACCCTCCCACCAGTAGCTTCGGCAGGCGTTATCTCCGTCGAATCTAGCAGTTCCTGCCATTTGAACAAAAAGTTTCCAGGCCCCTTCTTCAGAGGCTTTTTTAATTCTCCCTTGTTCGCCGAAACAATAGACGACATTCTTCGCTTTGTCTTTTGGTTGAGCTTCTGGAGGTATGCTTCGTAATCGTCCATCTGCTGCAAGACGATCTTCCTATCATCTTCATTTAACTCATCGACGAGTTTGTTCAATGTAGCTGTGAAACCTCCTGCCCCTTCGCCTGTAACACCCTCCGGCCTTCTAAATTGTTTTGCTGCATATTTTGCATACTCCAACCACAGCTCCTTCGCCATGTCTCCCTTCTTACAAAACTGATGAAGGAAAACATGGCAGCTCTTCTGATGCCTTTCAAACAACCCAACGAACTCTTCAGCACCCGGCGCCTTTTTAGGTCCATTTTCATCATTGTCACCCGTTGGTGAAATTTTGGCGGTTTTGATCATGTCGTTGACAAATCGTTCAAAATCTGCAATCGTGCCGCTAAGATCAACTGCATTGTGCAGATTCCTTAGGATCGGATCGTATATTTGAACAATATCGCGGATGGCTGCGGTTAGAACGTCCGGGTTTGATTTACACAGAACGAGGATTAGATTTTCTCGATCACGAATTGAAAGTTGGATCGAGAGGTAGTCGAGCAGGATTTTATGCTGGTCGGCCGTGAGGTCTGTGGATGGCGACGAGGGTGCCATGGAGATGATAGCATGGATGATTGAAGTAGATGAGGCTTTACTGATCACACGGTAGTCTTCTTGTTCGTCACGCGGGAGTTTGGTGTAGAACAGGACGGCGGCAAGGTGCTTTTTGGAAGGGCAGTCCTTGACCTTTTCGAGCTTAGCGACTCGGGATTCAAGTTCCCTGATCTCCCATGAGAGAACAGTGTATATGATTCTATGCGAAACTAATGTTAGAATACGGATATTATAAAATTGGGACGGAATTCCAACATACGTCTGGAGTAGATTCATGCCTTCATCTGCTCCGCTGCTCCATCCAATCCAGTTTGTCAGGGTTCCAATGCTCATCTTCGCCAGCACTAGCCTAGTCATCCCGCTAATCATAGTCGCAGCATTCCCAACCCTCAGAGTCTGTCGAATGATTCGATAGGGGATCAATTTGTTTGTTCTTTCTATCAAAGATAGAAGCGTCTGTCCCTTCGGCGAGGTGACTAACACATAGTGCGCTAAAGATGCTAAGCTTATAACCACCAAGAGCTACGAATTAGCTTATGTTCTCGAATTATTTCCTCCACTACTAGGAAATACCTATGACATACTTTACGACAATATGTTGATGCGCTGCAATAACCATATCACTGTGACTCTGCAAATCATCGCTTTGTGCCGCCTTTTCAAATAATTCATCTAACAGATCACCGTATACAACCTGCCTCATGAATTCCCTCCAGGCATCTACCAAATCTTGTTGATGACGTACATCGTACACTCGATCTGGATCAGGCTTTATCTCTCGTCCAGGCATACCACCCAACACCCCTCGCGCAGGATATTCTATCAAAGCCGAAATCGCAGTAGCGAGGGTCTTACGGATCCCCATAGAACCCTTATCGTACGACTCCGAGAGGTTCGCTTTCGCAAGGTCATCGATGAGAGGCTGGACGCGTTTGGACCAGAAATCCTGTGAGATATCGCGGAGACCTGGGATCGGGACTACGAAGGTCGAGAATAGGAGCTGGAGGATTGGGGATTTTGATATGACTTTGCCGTCTTTGTCTCTGTCGGCACCGTCTTTGTTCTTGGCGTCGTCATCGTCGCTTTCTTTGGAACCGTCAGTACCGGCATTCTTATTACTATTATTATTACTATTACTATTACTGCTATTTCTAGCAATTGGGTCGGGTTGGAAAGGTGGACCGTATGAAGTGATCACGCCGGGTGTCTTGAACAGCTCGATTTCAGCGGTGTAGGTCTCGCGATGGGTGAGGATATCTAGGAGGGCGTGGGATTGGGCGGGTGTGAGAATTGTAGGAGACATCGTGATGTCGATTAGCGAAAAGGGGAGGTTTGATTATCAAAGAAGGAGTCATGATGAAAGAAGGAGAGGGAGAGGGAGAGGGAGAGGGAGAGGGAGAAGCGACGACAAGATAGGGCTTGGGAGGGTGTGATGGGATGGGATGGGATAGAACGAAGGAGGGATTACGCCAGGAAGGACTTGCCATTCCCACCAACGTCATCTGCAACGCATTGGATACGATACTATTGTATCATCCCTGCATCAACATCGATACTAATAAAATATGTATCCCGAGTAAGCCCATTTCTCCTCTTTTATTTGTCACTACCTTTATCATCCGTTCCCCAGTGTTATCCGAACCTAAGGTATGGACCTACTAACAAAATGTTAAAAAGTGCAGACACCCGAAAGCACGAAGCTCCAACCGGAACGCACTACCTTGAAGCTTAGCTATGGCCATGCCACTTTCAGCGACGTGCAGGAAAGATGACCAAAGATGCATCCAGTCCCAGCTCCTGAATGAATGAATCCGCACCAGACACATCCCCTTCAAGGCCAAAAGGATCGTAAAAAAAGAATGATACTGTTACTTTAGAAGGGCCGCAGTCGGATTTGAACCGACATCTTTCCTTAAAATCAAATGTAAATTTCCATGGAATGTGCTAGTCATTACACTATGCAGCCTTTTTGCAACAGAACAAGATTAGTTGCGTTACCATTTATATAGGCGCTCTTGCATGAATGACATATTTGCAAGCGAATGGCTCCATCGGGGGAATGCTCCGTACTAGCTAAGCAAGAGGAAGGGTATAGTCCCAAGGCTAGGAAACCGGAAGACTAGGACAGATGGGACCTACCGCAATCTCGGACAGCTCAAGCTCCGTGGGTCTTGCGAAGCTTACCAGGTTCCTGCTCCCGCTCTCTGGCAAGTGACATTGATTGGCCCGAGCTTATGCCTCGGCTCGTCCGTTTTTGTCAAAACTACATGCAGCCCCTGCTGTCGCCGGAGCCAAAAATTCTAGTGGTACGTATTACCATATAAAGAAGCCTTTCTTCATGTCCGTCTTTGTCCATATTGTGGCTTTACCTATATCTTATCTACTACTATATACCCTTTATTTTAGGTATACGGATAATCATTTAATTCATCATGTTTGCTGCTTCACAAACGTACTACCATCATCCCTCCCCTGTGCTCCTGAAGCCCAAGGACTCCGATATCTCCGAGTCTTTGGTATCAGTCTGTAAATCGGCCATCCCGCCATTCTACCCACACCCCCTCCTTTTGCACGGGCATCTACAGACATGTGCTATTCTATTCGCATCTGATCATGTCCCTTTACATTACAAACGACATCTATTAAAATCTGAAACTCCCAACGATCCCGGTACATTCAGTGTTGATGTCGTAGTCCCCGCACCAGAGGGATCTGCACAGGAGACAAAATCATCGTCGAAAAAGGTACTATCAGAAAGTGACCCAGATTATTTTCCTCCTCGCACCACATTCTTTACAGAAGATGAATTCGACCAATGGAAATCCGACGATGAAACAAATCCATTGGTCATAGCACTCCACGGTCTCAGTGGTGGATCGCACGAGACATATGTACGATTAACCCTTGAACCATTGGTTCGACCTAAAAAGGATGGAGGTTTGGGATTCGATGCAATGGTTGTGAATGCTAGAGGATGTGGTTGGACAAAACTGACGGGTATGAATTTCGTTGGACAAAGCATTGTTACAAAAATTATATAGCTGACAGACGATTGATTTTACAGATAACAAAATGTTCAACGCGATGTTCACAAGAGACATCAAGCACGTTGTTAACCTCATGCGCCGAAAGTTCCCAAAGCGCCCACTCATGGCCGTTGGATTCTCCCTTGGCGCAAATATCCTCGCAAGTCCGTATACCCCATATATCGTGCCAAAAACGCTATTTCCATTTCCATACTAATAATCGGTTCCCAGACTACCTCGGCGAGGCCGGTTCCTCCTCCCCATTTCACGCCGCTGTCCTCTTATCTTCTCCGCATAACATGGATGCATGCGCAAAGATCATGTTCATGACCTTCACCGGCCGTCTGTATTCCAAATTTATGGCTGGAAATCTGAAAAAGCTATTCGAAAGGAATTACGAAATGCTCTCCACTAATCCAGATATCGACGTCGAAGCCGCCCGTAATGCAACATATCTTTACGATTGGGATTCCGCAGTGACTGCACCGGTATACGGCTTTAGGACTGGGGGAGAGTATTATCGTGCTTCGAGTTCCGTCGATAGATTGATCGATGTGAAGGTCCCGACCTTGATTATAAATGCTGAAGAGGATCCAATTTCGCTTCAGAACGCGTTTCCGAGACAGGAGGCAGAAGCCAACCCGTATATTTGCTTCGTAACGACAGGATATGGTGGACACCTGGGATGGTTTGAGTGGGGAATGCAGAGATGGTTTCCAAAGCCGATTATGGGATTCTTGCAAAGGATGTCGGAATTAGATCTTGTGGAAAAGGAAAACGGGTTTGTGGAAGTCAATGGCGTCTAGATGGAGATAGAACTGGCCTCTGGTAGTTGAAAACCAATCCTTTGCGTATATTATATAGATAGAACGGTATATGGAGTCTTCATGGGCGTGCTTTTGTGTGATAAATTATAAAACTCTGCTTTGTTGACTTGCTGTAGATTCCAAACCCTAGAACTGGAAAACTCCGATAACGCCAGTCGCTTTTTTATATATGAGCCGCCAAACCCATTAAGCAAATGAAACGCTCTTCCTCTTTGCCGCAGACCTTGTCGGTTTTTCGTCAACATCGTCGTCGTCATTTGTCGCATTCCCACCCTTTCGCTTTCTCTTCTTCTTCAAGGAATCCTTGACATCTTCCTGTTTCGCCCATAAGGTATTAGTATCCACCTTGACTGCCCACCAATTATATTTTGTAAACTTACCAATTTAGCCTCCTTTTCCTTCTCCCTCCTCTCCTGCTCCTTCCGCTTCTGCTCTCTTATAACTTCCAGCCGTCTATTCTTTTCAACTTTACCCTGAATAACCCCATCTACGCTATTATTCACCAGCTCGAGAATATCCATCATAGTTTCTTTGTCCTCCACAAACACCTTCCCCTTCTTCTTTCCCCGCGGCTTTGTAACACCCGCCGGAATGATGCCATTGAGGGTGGGAAGCTTAAGTTGCGCATCCGTGTACCTATCTTTCAATGGCTTTTTATGCGGCTTACGAATTCTCGTAGAGGCAGATTTTTTGGGTATAGAAGTTGCGGAAGCAGTGGTAGGTTTCTTGTGACGTTTGGAGGAACTGATTTTTCCGGGTGTGAATGGTTTGGGATCTGTGGTTGATGATGATGAAGACGAGTTTGTTTTCCGTTTCTTAGAGGATGATAGAGAGTTCTTCGATGCTGAAGAGGCGCGAGTGCGTTTTACGGGCGCCATTTTGTAGGAGTGTGTGGCAATGATGTGATTTTGACGGAGGTTGTCGATTGATGTCGAAGTGTCGAATATTTTGGTTTTTTGGTCGCAGAAAGATTTTTAGGTGCGACTAGGAAGCAAGTTTTGCCGAGATCTCTCAAATAGGAAGTTTTGGCGACAGAAAATTACAACACCCCAAACACACTTTGCCTGATGGTGCAACCTGTTGAGGATTGAAGTACTAAAAAGCCTTGGTAGTGCCGGGCTACTTCGTGAAGGCTTGTTTACGAGATCAGGTAATCAAAGAATAACCCAAATTTAGGCTCTCGCTGTTTAAAAAAGACATTATCTATGGCTAGGTACTGGTTTCGGTCAAAATCCCATTGTCTTCAATCATCTTTGGCTCAGCTGCTCAAGCCTAATGTTCAGAATGTGACCTCTAATTATTCTCGCCGATCGAGTACGAGTAATAATTCTCTGATTGCTTTAAGTTAATTAGCGATATTCACCTTTTTCAGAATACACACCATTATTTTAGAGGTCTAAATACATTAGCTTTGGTCGAGCCACCGCCCATATTCCTATGATTGTTATGGTGGCTAGGCACACGTTAGGTTGGAGGGGCGTTGTGAAACTATGGCATAGGAGGGCGTTCTTCTCAATAAACGTATTGGCATTTATTCACTAGTAGGACGGTAGCTACTTGAAGCTTAGTCATCTGGACTTCTCTAGCAAGAACACGGAAGGTTTTCGCTACTGGTGGCATCGGTAATGCATTACGGATCTGAATCTTGAGAAAATGGACGAAATATTGCTTTGCCTCGTTGAGACTGGCTTACGAGACCAACGAAATATATGTATTGTCTAATCTGTGGGTCGTTTCATCCTAAAGCATATATGATATGCTTGAAATGGGTTGAACGGAATTGAACATGGACTACCCTATGGGCTCGCGAACTAATTCCTAAAAGGTATTCCCTAAAGCTTGAAGACCCCGAAGGGGATACTCGGTCTTATAGTTGGGAGTATCCAATCAATGATATATCTATAAGGATAAATAATTGTATAGATGGAATACACGGCGCCCTTTACTATGAATAGCTTACCAATGGACATATGTGTAAGTATACATATGTATATATATATTGTCTAATTATAAACTAAAAGGGTGTGCTATTCAAAAGCCAATCAATTCATTCAGAGAGAGGTTTTTTTAGGCCCTAATTCTGCCTAATCTAGCTCCGTCGTACTACGGTGGTCTACGACAGTATCGTGGGCTCAGGGGGGAAATGAGGAGAGATTTAGAAAGGTGAGAAACATCTCAATATAACTATTTCCTGTAGCTAGTAGAGTATATTACTAGCTTCACTATTCTGGTTCATTAAAGCATTACTTTCTCCATTTCCTTATATAGATAGAATCTACATAATGACCATCAATCCGGTCACCTCGTGGAGACCAGTTTACTAGCGCAGTCGATCATACCCTCAGCTAGCTTTCCCTCCAATAGGAACGATAGTTTATCTTTGGTGCAACATAATAACCCTGGTTCAATTTGAAAGTGGATACGCGGATACTTTGGTCTATGTTTTAAAGCTAAAATTTTATGACCGGGATATATAACCTTATGGACGCATGGATTCAGCTGCAGCCCACAAATTGGATGATTAGGAGTGTGCCGTTCCAGGCCAGGGAATATAGCGCCGATTCAGATGACATAACGTCTTGGAATTCGCACAACAATGGGTATCATTGGACTCCACAATATCCAGCCGCTTGGATATAAGACACGTAGTCCTAGGTGATCGTCATTGCTTAAATTTACTATTACTCTTTGTGATTTATAATTGTTTCGGACTTTAGAAAGTGGTAAAGGCGCGGGCTATTTTAAATGTGGCGTTCTAGTCACATCCATTGGATCACTCCGCTTAATCATGGATATTGCAAATGTCTTACCCTAGCTCTCGTTGTGCACGCAAATTCTGGCCATACGTGTATACGTACGTCCGCTTATACGCCGGCGAGCCCGAAATCCTGGATTTAGGTCTTGGTGTTTGCCAAAACACTCTAAATATGTGCATTCGGTAACGCCTTCCTTTACCAGTGGTCATGTGGCTATGATGTTTTAAAAGGGTCCAACATAACTCCACTATAGGATACATTTATTACCTAAGTAGTCTCGGGACATACTTAAGTATATATCCGGCTAGTCTCGGTCTCGTGGCTGCAGACGTGCTGGCCACAAGTGTAACCTAGCTC